TCCGTCTCCACCAGTTCGTGGTGTTGTGCGTCAAGAAAGTGAGTTCTCAGGCAGATCGATTCTCCGGGGAGTTCCTTTGGACAGGCAGAGCAGCCACTTTAGGCGGGCACTGACATGTTAGCTAGGCTAAGGTCTGCTGCCCCTTAGGGCTCGGCAGGTTAGGAATCCACGGCCTCCCCAGGTTGGCAATCAGCCTCTGGGTTCGCTGGTTATGGAGGATGTATACGGACCCCCAACGCCCTTGGCATGGGCTGGCATGCAATTCAGGAGAGACGAGCAGTGCGTGTTTTGAGCATCCACCAAGATGGTGATGGAATGTCTTCTCTCGTTTGGGAAGACTACTGGATATTGCCATATTGGTGGCAATTCCATCTCTGAGATTGCGCCCAAGCTACTCCGTCCTTTTAGTCTTGGGGCGCAATCGGAAGCGCCGTACCGTCGTGGATAGACCATGGATCTCTGACATTCATGGGGCCCTTAACCTGTTTCAAGACTTACTATAACATCCACTTTCAAGGGTCGGTGGCATCGGTCTCTTGAAATTGAATTGGAGGTCTTGGGCTCCCCCGAGGGTGAAGTTCATCTTGCTGGCATGCCAGGACTGCTGCTGGACAGCAGCAAGGCTCGCCAGGAGGGGCCTGCCGCACTCCCTGTGCTGTGTGCTTTGCGACCAAGCGGGGAGACCATGTGCCACATCTTGACTGGCTGCTCCTTGCGCTCCCTGTGGCACAATGTGCTTTCTTGGATCCGATCGACTGTCCACCCCAACTCCGGCGGCACCTAATCAGTGCATCGAGACTCAAAGCGTTTGCGTTTAATCTAGAGTAAATATACCCCTGAAATGTAATCGGGGTAATGTTATAAAATTCTAGGGAAGCTTCTGCAGTATATTGGCTCCTATGTAACATGCTTAGGTGTGCGAATAGGTGTCAAAGTTGCAGCGTTAAAAGTCATTCACTTGGGAAGGTAACTGTATCAACTTCAGAGAATTAAACTAACTAAAACATATATAATCTTTTGTTTATTAGGGTGGAATAATAGGAAAATTGCGTATAAGAAATCAACCACTTTTACATAGAAAGAATGAAAATATACTAACTTCCTCAAGTGCACGCAAAACTGTCTTCAGAAATTTGCACGTTTATGACCTGTTGTCAAGTGACCTTTTGTTGAATATCTTGCAGGATTATTTAGGAAATAAGAGGCTGCAACTGTCTGGTGAACTAGTATCCCTGCTCTTCGAGGTGATTAGTTTCTCTAATCATTTCATTAGATGGTTGCATTATGTGGTTTTATCTCCTACAGTGTTTTTCTTTGTGAAGGATCTGTTCAAAAGAATGAATTTGTTGGCTATGGATATTATGGGCAAAACTATGAGCAACAATACAAGTGAAGATCGTGACGGAGTCCTGAATTTTAAGCAGGTACATATTTATGGATGCTAATTTCTGCCCTCCTTTTGCATTTCAATTATTGTAGCTTGTGTTATACCTTGATGAACTTACTAAGTGAAGAAGTATCTTTCTGTTGCTGTTTTATGCTAAGCTCATAAACTCCACATGTGAAAATGCCTTTATAACTACAAAGTTTATTAATCAGATCCATAGAGTATTTATCATCTTGGGTGAAAACAGAGAGCAATTTTTTTTAACCTTGGAGTCCCTGCTCTACTGCTCGATGCTGTCCATTTCAACCGTGTCAATAACCTTAACCAGCCTGCTAGTTGCACTTGCACCGTCAAAAACAATGACATGCGCCAGAGGGGTCAGTGTGTATTACAGTTCATGGTTTGATCTTGCAACAAAACTTAGAGCCTACAGCTAGTTGGCCTTCTTGAAAGCCGCAAATCAGTACTTATTATGTGCTGCTGTTATTTAGTCCTTCGATAATATAATAGCTTAATTGTCTTCGTGTTTATGATGAAGTAAAGTTTCATTCCTGGAAATGCCACTGCTATGTAACATATTGCCTGACTATTGACTTGACAGCCTAATGTGCAATGCACCGGAGAAATCCATTACCTTTTTATTCTTGCTCTGCGCATTATATTGGAATTGGTTTATCATTGGGATGCCCAGACAGCTATCTTACATGTATAACTTCCTTATTTTGCAGATAATAGAGAGGGCTTCTAACATAACCTCTGGTATGGAGTTGGCCATTAACACAGGAAATTGGAACACAGGACAATTTGGTATGAGTAGAAAAGGTGTATCACAGGTATCTGAGTTCCGCCCCCCCCCCCCCTTCTCTAATCTATAGATATTTTGGGATTTAAGTTTTTCTTTTGCTTCTATATAGACGCTTTCTAGGCTATCCTATATGGCATCTTTAGGCTACATGACACGCATATCACAAGAATTAGAGAAGACCCGGAAAACAAATGGGCCCCGTGCATTGCACCCTAGTCAGGTGAGGTTAGAATGGTAGCTATATTTCTACTTCGTAAAGAAACAACAATATACGTGAAGATCTGAAACCTCAGAACTGTTTCTATTTGCTCCTTGTGAACTATTTTTATGGCAGTGGGGTATGCTTTGCCCATGCGATACTCCCGAAGGAGAACTTTGTGGATTGACAAAAAATTTAGCTTTGTTAACTCACATTACAACAGATCAAGAGGATGATGGCCCACTGACGAAGCTGGTTTGTTTTCTCCTAATTCAGTTATTTTTATTTTTGTTGTCTTTAATGCTTTGTGCCCGACTGCCTGTGTGGGCATGTTCTTGTGTGTATTGAGGTACTGATGAGCTCATATCCAACCATTGCTTGATTCGTGTTGTTTTGGGAATACGACTGCACCCACTACGATTGGGCACCTTTACACACAGTGTGCTCAGTGGGAAATCATGTAGGTTGTACGTGAAGTTGTAGATTTATTACTAGCCACCATAGTTTTTTGTGTGCATGTGCCTATGTCTGCATGATTGCATGCATACTGTTTATAATAATTACTCGAAATGATCTGAGCTGCAACAACACAATTTACTGGTAGTTCCTATAATTAAATAGATTGTACATACTTCGAAAAAAACTAGATTTTACATACTAGCAGAGGCAGAGCACAACTCAGCGGTCACATGTGGTCATTAATCACCTAAATAGTCAGTATGCACCCTATATGCAATTTGATTGTGGTCTAACCTGCTGCATTTTTTTAGTTCTTTACATCCATTGTATAAAGAAGTGCCACAAGTTATGAGCAATCTTATACATTCCACTTTTGTTCATTATGTACCAGTGTTATACTTTAGGTGTGGAAGATTTATCAATTTTATCCGCAGAAGAAGTTCATGCATCAGACTCATTTCTGATCATGTTCAATGGATCAATACTGGGGAAACATAGGCAACCTCAGGTCTAATTTCTTATAAACATTACCTTTGCCTTTTCTTCTTCCTTTCTTAATTTTTCGTTAAGCCACCCGTGATTCTTTTCAGAGATTTGCTGATAATATGAGAAAACTGCGTCGGTTAAGCTCATCTTGGGACTTTGTAAGCATTTTTGTTAATCAGAAGCAGGTATTTTTTTTCTTGATTTCTACTAGCTAGCTTACTATGAATACTGCATCATAATAAAATTGGAAGTATAAGCTGTAACAGTTTTGCAGCACATAATAAAATCATCTGGCGACATACTTGTGTATGTGAGGAAAAAGAATTCTAACAGCTAATTTATCTCCAGGCCTGGGGAAATAGCTCCTTGCCTTCTGGAATCAATTTGATGGATACAGTGATTGTGGCATGTGACACAAATATTTAAAAAATATCAGTAGTGTCGTTTGTGTCCATGTTATCATCGTTTGCAGTGATATGATATTACTGTTACTACTATTCCATGTTATCTAGGAGGGGCCATATAATTGTATGTGACCCTTGTTGCTGAGTTTATTCTTTTTCCTCCAGAAGTTGTACCAGCCTTTTAATTGTACAAAACTGAAGATATAGCCGGGATCTTAAGATTTAGGTTGCTCACATGAAGCAAACCGTGGCTATATGTTCAGTTTCATAATTAGGTGTCTTGGTCAATGAGTACCATGCTATTTCTGTGGATGTACCTGAAATTGCGAAAAATAGCACACAACTCCCTCCGTTCCATAATTCTTGTCGTGGTTTTAGTTAAAATTCGAACTAAAACCACTAGAAGAATTATGGAACGGAGGGAGTACTATCTTGTTTGTTGGTTGATTGGTTGCTGTGGTATTTATCTCTTTTTGTTCTCAAAAGGATGATTTGGATCTAATAACTTGTCGACATTTCTAGCGTTGCATTCACATTGCCTCTGATGGCGGTTGCATTTGTCGTCCACTTTTAATCGCTGATTTGGGAATATCAAGGGTCCAAGACCATCATATGCAGGAACTGAGGGTTAGTGCATCACATGCTGTTTTATCTATTGGTTGTTTTTTGTTATCTAGTTCAGAACTGCTTTTTTCTGTTCTAGGCTGGTCAACTCTCATTTGACGATTTTCTGCGTTTTGGGTTGATTGAATATCTTGATGTCAATGAAGAGAACAATGCATTGGTATAACATGATTCTTCTGACTTTCCCTTTATGGTTTATTTAATTTCTTATAATGTGTTTAAGATCATCCAAACAGATTGCATTGTATGAGCATGAGGATCAAGATGATGTTCAGAGAAGCAGAATCACACACATTGAAATAGAGCCCTTGACTATATTAGGGGTTGTGGCTGGGCTTATTCCTTATCCACACCATAACCAATCTACACGTAACACTTACCAGGTAAGGATTTGGGTTATTGTTGCACATAAGATTCATTGCATCTCTCGTTTACATTTTTTTCATCTGCAGTGTGCAATGGGTAAGCAAGCAATGGGAAATATTGCGTATAATCAGGTAAGAAGCAGCTTGAGTTGTTTCTGACCATTTAATTATGCATGTGTTTTTGTTTTGTTGCACTCACATCAATGCAGCACGAGTTGGCCTGGTTGGTTGCAACTGCAACGTACACATTTGACTGTTTAAAAGTATCTAAATCACATTCGTATGACATTTGATTTAACTTTACAATGTTGTTATACTCTGGCCCTTGTTCTAAGCTTGTTTCCTTACTGACGTGAAATAATGTTTCTTTGGAATGTGTTCAGTTGTCCCGGGCAGATTCTCTACAATATTTATTAGTGTACGCGCAACGTCCCCTGGTTACAACAAAAACAATCGAGTTGGTTCGTCACTTGCCCCCTCCTCTCCCTCCTCATTTGAAATTTGATGTTACATAGTTTACTACATATCTTTTCAGGTGGGATATGATAAGCTTGGGGCTGGGCAGAATGCAACTGTTGCTGTCATGAGTGATAGTGGATATGATATTAAAGATGCAATTGTATTCAATAAATCATCCCTTGATCGAGGTTTTGGTCGTTGCATAAGAATGAAAAGGTAATGCTATGCTTAATAATTCAAATAAAGATGCTCTTCCTTTTATTCTGCTTTGGTTCTTATAGTGTATCTTTGGTTCTTGTTCTAAAGGTACACGGTGGCAATGCAGAAGTATGGGAATAATAGGTCAGAAAAGAATGTTAAACCAGAGAGAGATAAAGATGATATTTTGAAGAAGCAGAATATGCAGGTAGGAAAAGCACCGACCAGTGACTGTTCTGACTTCTGACACTACAAGACCCTTCATTTTTCTCACTAGATTGGCATAGTAGCCAGTTTTAAGTATTTTATTATGAGTTTTTTTCCAGCAGTTTTTGTCTGACTTTTATTATTTGTATATCATTTATAATGGGTGGTATTATTGAAATGGGCTTTCCAGTCCCAATTTGGCTGAAGTTATTCACGTCTTCTTAATTTGTCTACTCGGTATTGGGAATTGGTATTACATTTTTCTGTATACTCCTAAGTCAGGGAACTTTTGATAGGTTTTGGATAAAGATGGATATGCCAAGCCAGGTCTAATAATCCGCGATGGTGATATCTATGTGAACAAGAAAACTCCCAAGAATACTGCAAAAAGTCCTGGTGTTACATCAACCGACAGGTCACTATTCTTGTGTTTTTGTGGTTATTATGTTCCATCTTCTATTGTTTTGGCTCCAAAGTTTTTCTGTTCAATAACGTTATATGTTCTCAGTCGCTTGAAACATTGCTCATCCAGGGACTATGAAGACTCCCCAGCTATTTACAAAGGTGATGATGATGAGACAACTGTAGTTGATCGTGTAATACTTTCCTCAGATAGTAATGACAACTTGACCATCAAGTGTATTATCCGTCACACTAGGAGGCCAGAGGTATGGTCTATTCGCTGAATCCCTTAAGTTTGATGTACAGAATAATGAAGGTAAATATTTGTGTTCCTGTTTGTGATGCAGGTCGGTGACAAATTTAGTAGCAGACATGGACAGAAAGGTGTTTGTGGTACCATTCTTCAGCAGGAAGACTTCTCCTTCTCTGAGAGAGGAATATGCCCTGATTTAGTTATGAATCCCCATGGATTTCCAAGGTTTTATATTGGCTTTGGTTATATTGTATGCTTTTCCTTTTTTGCTGATTTCTTCTATATCTATCTGTTAGTTGAGTTTGTTCTCTGGAGCCACAACCATTCAGTTGGTTGTTTTCTGTTATTTAGCTCATCTTCAATTTAATACGAAAGATTGGGACTCCTTATTTTGCCGGAGTATACCCATTTTGGTATTCAAATGTGTGTGTAGACATCATGCTCTTTTTCTCTTCTTCTAACTCAATACTACACACATTTAGTATATACCTCTGTCCACTGTCACTGAAATGAGTGAATCTACACACTAAAACGCCTCTAGTTACACTCATTCACTACCGGACTCGCGGGCTATGCCTACGGCCCAGGGCCGTCGGCATAGGTCCTTTGCCGTCGGCATAGATCTATGCCTACGGCTGCCGTCGGCATAGCCCCGTCGGTGTAGATCACGTCAGCGTAGATGTGTCAGACCATCGGTGTAGTATAGCCGTCGGCATAGGTGCGTATGCCGACGGCCGTGGGACAGCCGTCGGCATAGTTTAGCCGTCGGCGTTGTTTTCCGTCTGACGGCAACGGACGGCGCCGTCAACAGCGCTGGCGATTCAGGGGACGACACGTGGCGCAGGTATGCCGACAGCTTGGCCATCGGCATAGATTGAAATCTATGCCGACGGCCTACCTGCGCCACGTGTCGTCCCCTGGCTTCTCCTGGCGGCAGGGCTATGCCTATGGCAAAGCTGTCGGCATAGATGGAAATCTATGCCGACGGCTTTGCCGTAGGCATAGCTCTGCCACGTGGCGCCTCCTTCATATGCTTTTAGTTAATTAAAAAAATAGCGTCCGGCCGGCGACCGGCGAGCAGAGTGTCCGGCGTACAACATGTCCGGCGTCCCGCGTACAGCATGGTCGGAGCAACAGAGGACGACTACGGACATGGCCGGAGCAGCAGCCGCGGATGTGCAGAGGTGCCTTGCATCCATCCAGAACCCAAGTCGCCCCCGTGGTCATCGTGGAGGTCGTCCGCGCGGAGTCGTCGTCGAGACCTTGGGAGAGAGAGGCAGACGACCTGCACGGGCTAGATGGCGCAGCTGGTGGTGCGGCGGGCCTTGACTACTGCCCCCGACTAGGAGGTGGCTGCGGGAGGAGACTGTAGGCCGCGGCAACTCCAGCGCTGCTGCTTCTCCGGCTGTGCCGCTGCTACTCCGACGGTGCTGAACGGAGAGAGGGAGATAGAGGAAGATGGCAGAAAGAGAAGGAGGAGGTGAGATGCATGGCAGGGTCCAGCGAGGGGCGTCGGAGGAGGATCTTGCGAGGGGCGGTGGCGCGGGAGTCCGGCGTGGCAGCGACGAGGGAGTCCGGCGGGGTAGTCCGTCGAGGGTGCTGTACGTGCGCTGCTGCTGCGCTCCTGTGAGGAGAAAAAGAGATCTAGCAGTGGTTGGACTGTACGTGCACGTGGGCTGGGTTTATAGCTGGTGTGTGCGATGCGTGGTGGTGGGCTACCCCGCCACGTCATCGATCCAGGAGACACTGGTTCCATCCAATAGGAACACATGAAATTTTTTTGTGTTTGTTTAGCCTACTAATATTGACCAAATAAACATGTTAAAATACAGTAAATGTTCTTGAAAAATTTCCATGCATTTTAGGACTCATAAAGTTGTACCACGCCAAATTTCATATTCTTTAGACCTTGTTTACATTTTCAAAAAAATTAAGAAGTTAATACAGTTATGCGTGGGCTGTGTTTTAATAGTTTATATTTTTCCTTCTTTATGTTTTTTTATTTCATATAGATTTTTTAATGTTTTTTATAGTTATAATTTTCCTTTTTTATGTTTTATAATGTATTATTATTTCATATGGATTTTTAATGTTTTTTAACCACTCGGCGCTCTCCTCTCCGGGAACCACACAGAGGGGAGGGGAGGCGCCGAACTCGAGCAGCTTCGTCCGCCGAGGCCGTGGCCTGGTCGCGGGTCTGGGAGCGCATGGCCGCCGCCTCGCATGCTCGATGTGGAGCTTAGTAGGTCAGCTGAGTGAAGGGGAAGGGGGGTCGTCGACGGTGGGGGTTGGGGTGGGGGCGACGGTGGATCAAAGTCCGTCGGAGGGAGATGGTTCGCGCGGGGACACCTGGGAGCAACATCCAGGCCAAACCCACATCTACATCCCCTCTGTGTAGACCCGACGCGTCCGTTCCCCCCCTCCAGGTGGCGGTGGCGGCATCGTCCGTGAGGGGGGCCACACCCCGGAGACGCATGCCGCCTCTTCGGACATGCCACAACACCGTACGACATGTATGAGGGCCCGGTGCGATGCTCTAATGGCATTGCTAATCCCCTCCCCCCCCTCGGGACCCCGTCCCACCTAACCCTGGAGCGGTTGACCACGAGATCTAGCCCTTTGACTTTCCACGAACGGACTTTGACCAGTGGACCTCTCCACCCGGTTGTATCAGGTCAGCCTATAGGAACACTTGGGAGCAACATCTGGGGCAGACCCACAGCTACATC